CGTTAGAGAAATCACATAGAAAATACATTCGTTTTATTCATACGCGCGATTACACAGGGTGTCAGAAAAGCAAGAGAGGACGTAGAATACTGAAATTACAAGCCATGCATACCCAATGAGCTTATTCCCGCCATCGGGATAGAAATTTCAAAAGAACACGTCGATAAAATCGCGCAAAATATTCTTAACAAATGCGTTTATTAAATGGCAGAATAAAATATTGATATACAGGTTGTATATTGAAATGTTATCAGTACTTTACGTCGGTAAATTTTTGATAAAAGAAAATCGATGGGTATGGATGTTTTTCAAATAATAAAATCTTGCCAGTGGAAATGCGTAATTCTTGAAGTACCTCATTTAAATGTAAGTAATAGATTGTCATAATTCGTTAATATTTATAAGCATTTTAATTGCACTTGAGTAATTTTTTTCTAAGGAAAGTTATCTTTTCTTTTCCGTTACCAATATATTGCAATAGTAAAGGAAAAGTAGCGCAAACACAAATTAAAACAAAATTGTTATACTATAATTATTATTTATTGTTTATATAATTATTATATAAAAAAGGCGTCCACGCGCATCGAATTTCTCCTGTTAAGTTAAATAAAATTAATTATATAAAAATTGCAATAAAATTGCCAATTTCAGAAAAGTTTGCGCAGCAAGAAAGTACATAGTATCCCGATGAAAAACATCTTTGTGAATGAACAAACATCTTACCGCGCGGTACACTCACGAGCCACGACACTTGCGAAGCAACAACAACCGAGAGCACGAATAACCTTAGCTTCGTGAACATAACGATGCAAAATTCTCTTGAATCGCGGGGAGAGAGGAAGAGATGATCTGCGACACGTGAGTGGTGGTGCGTGTGTCAAGTTGAAAATAAAAAAAGAAAACGGAAAAGAGATCACACGTCGGATCGCCCGTTGAACCACATCTAAACTTTCGCAAGGAAGGATTCAGCCTTATATAGGGGTTGATACAGTCCCACCGTGGCAATGCGCAATCCAAACGCGCCCCTCGGAGGCATCTGCGAGTGGAAAAAAAGAAAGAGAAAAAAATGTTATTACGTGCGTTAATTATGCTTCGTACAGATACAAATTACGGGATGAAAATAGATAAATTATCTCAATCCTCGAATTTTATTCCCCGACCGCTTTTCGCAACCGTGAAGGGTGAATTCAAGCAATCGATTGTACAGCAATCAAGACTTTCTCTCAACCGATTTCTTCTCAAATAAAAGAAAAATGCCTTGCAGTTTTTTTCCGGGTCTCGCTCTCTGATGAACACGTGTGAAAGGATCTCGTGTCAATTCTCGTGAAAATAAATGAGGCGAATCCGAGCCTCGCTTCCAATTCCTGGCAATTTTATTGTACCGATTGCACTCATGGTGTGGTTGCGGATCGTAACAAAATCACCTGTTTCTTATAAACCATGCTCGCAGCATTCATAGGTTCTTATTTTTAAGATCGTCTTAAGTACGTCTTAAAATGCGACTTTCTAATTAGTTCATGACATCTTAATTAAGACTGTACTTTAGACAATCTTATAAATATAAGAATCGATTATAAATACTGGCCATAGATTTCTTGACTCAAATGCGATTTTTTCCTTATAAATGCAACTGCATGATCTAAGGTATACGAGAAGGCGGTTCTCGTTAGATCTAAAGCATTCTGTACGCGTACGCGTGTCTGAGAAATCCAAGACGCGAATCCATGTCGAAAGTGCAATCGATTCGAGCGGTGACTTCACACGAGCCTTTCAGCAGAATGAAGTTGCATTATGGCGCGAACCTGTGTTAAACCCCGAGGGATTTTCAGGATGTAGTGATACTTCTGTCAAGTATATATAGCGAGCACGCGAAGTTCTACAGCGTGTCCGATAGCGAGGGTAATGTAAAAGTTATGGTCGGATTGAATCAGGAATGTCTATGATTCTTCGGAGCTGTTGCATCATCGGAAGAAAATTGATATATTATACATAAAATACACAATATATTTAAGAAACTTAATATACGATACATAATATATATAATAGACCTATTAGGCTTACATTATTCCGCCTGAATTTTTAACGTAATAATTTGCGTAGGATGTTTCTGGTACTCTACATTATATCTTTGTATTGTCCTTTTTGATGATTTACAATTAAATAATGATTGATCATATTCTATATATTCTTTAAATAAAAATAAATTTAAAAAATGTTTGTTCAATTGTGAAACAATTTGCGCTAAATAAAATAATGTATATAGCATGCATACATTAACAAATTTTAAATAAAGCTTAGAGATCTCAAACGAATAATATGAAAGGTTAATTGCTAAATATTAAGATATTAGAGAACATTCCAGATTTGAAATTATAATCTTATAACATTAATCATACACTTTTGTATAATTTGTTAAATAAAAATTAGATTTATTATCTTGTATAGAGAGAATTATATATATTAATATATTTAATTTTAATATAATATTTTATATTAAATTATATATGTATTAAAATAAAATTAAATGTCAAGAATATATATAATT